CCATAATTCGCTGTTAATTAGGATACAGGGAAATCCAATTCAATATATATTGACTTTTTTTTTAACGAAAAAAACATATTTTTTTTATTATATATATTATATATGCACCATTTCCGGTTAAGATTAGTATGTGAGTCAAATGTAATATTTCACTTGTCAGATTATTCATTTGATCTCCAAAGTCCCCTTATAACCACCACTTCTAGGTTCGCGCCGCAATGGATGACATAGGCTGCACCCAACATATAATAACGTCGTCAGTCTAGCTGACATAAGGATAAGAAAACCGGGTGACAAAAGATATATATATATATATATATATATATATATATATATATATATATATATATCTATATAAAAATATGATTCCAATCGTTACATAACAGGTCTCATGTTTCAAAAAAAAAAAAGTTTAAATCCTTTAAATTAAATTGATTTAAATTAAAATAGGCTCCGTTCCATCTTCAAAGCGAGTTTTTGTTGGAATAACGTATATCTCAGATATATACGTTATTATCTCAGAGATATACGTTATTCCAACAAAAATTTCGCTTGAAGATGGAACGGAGCCCATTTTAATTTAAACTCAATTTAATTTAAAGGGTTATATTGAAGTTTTCGGCTCTTGTTTTAAAACATGAGACCTCTTATGTAGCGATTTGGAATCATATTTTTAAATAAATAATTATATTTATGCTCTACTTTGTATCGAGCACTATTTTTTAAAAATAATAACTAAAATACTAAGGGACTTTGGATTATTTACCTAACCAGTTCCTTCCTATTTTTTTCTATATATTTTCACATATTATATATATATATATATATATATATATATATATATATATATATATATATATGTACCGTTTAAATAGGTCAAGGTCTGGTCACTTTTCCTCCCCAATACTAAGTATGATTGAGGGAAATATTAAATTAAACCCTCTCTAAACTCTACTATGTCTCTCTAACCACTCCTTATTTCACTCTCTGTTAAATTGCAAAAACTTACACTACCCATCAATTTTCATTTCATTTTTCGTTTCATCTTTTTTAAGTGCTATCTGATGATCCGGCGTCCTTTAAAGGTGCTCTGGTGAAATAAATTATTATAATGGAAACTTAAATGGTCTGTTTTTCATAATATATATATATATATATATATATATATATATATATATATATATTGGTTCAGGTTCAGGGAAGAAGAGAGATAGAGTGAGAGAGAGAGTGAATCCTCCTAGCATTAACAGAAGGAGTTCCTCGTTCAAAGAAGACATTCAAATACACGCTCCATGATTCTGGCATTAATTGGTGAAGTCCATAGGTTAATATACAATCATTTTATTTATGGCTTCTTATTATGCACAATGCTAAAGTTAAAGGCATATAGATAGATAGATAGATAGATAGATAGATAGATAAACAGATAGATAGATAGATAGATAAACAGATAGATAGATAGATAGATAGATAGATAGATAGATAGATAGATATAAATATATAGACAGAGAAAGACATACTTAACTAGACTGATGGACAGATAGATAATGATATTAACTTATTTACAGTGTGTTAATTACTCTTATTATTATTTCAATTGAAATGAACTTACTGTTTTCAGATCGTCACGTTTAAATATCAGAGGAATTTCCGCACGACATGCTGCCCAGTTTAACTGCATCGAAACTAATTACAATAGACCTTATAAACCATTCACTTAATCTAAACAGAAACATCTGGCCAATTACCGCCATAACGTCAGTCAGTTTCACATGCTCGGGTTAACATAGTTCGACTCTGAAATATAGTGACGTTCCAAATACTATAGACAGCCCGTCATCGGCTAATGCGACAGGTAATTGTAGCGATCAACCGATGACAGAAACCGTTTTAGCGTGGGATAATCGCAAATAACGGACTGGACTGCGTCATTTTGCGCTTTTCTTTCGTTGATATATTTCTTTTTGCAATTATCCAAGGAATTGAAAGTTCACATCTTCTTCTATGTACCACGTTCCATTCAGGACGTAGTCGATCATGGCTCTCCAAACTTCCTTGTGGTTTGTAGTTTTTAATAGATTTTACCTGTTCGTTAGCTCTACTAAAGATTGTTCCCCCATACATTTACTCAAGTTCACGAAGTAGGTTTTATCTCTATCCCTCTTGTCTTTAATCTGTCCTGTGAGTATCAGAATTTCCAAGCCCTCTTAGCTCATTATGTGCACTAGGAATTTCAACTGTCTCTTCCTGTATCGGTACATATTTGAAAAAATGGTAATGCTGAAAATAGGTCATGCAAAATTGCTCAGAAAAATGATATTTTTTAGATATAGATATAGATATTAGCTCGGAAGAAAAATGACATTTTTTAGATATAGATATAGATAATAGCTCGGAAGAAAAGTTCATAGCATTTTAAAATGACATTCAAAAAATGTTTATATATCTGGACACCAATTTATTCAACGACATATATGCCATTTTTTGTTACAATCCCTTTCGCCATTTTTAAGACGGCATCATTTTTTTATTCTCCGAGAAATTTACATCTCTGTGACTGATGAACTGATCTTAGTTTGTTACTGACTTCAAAACAGTTCTTTATATTACTTACAACATTTCAATATATATATATATATATATATATATATATATATATATATATATATATATATATATATATTTTAAATAAAAAACTGACCACTTTAAGGTTCCGTGTAATAAATTATTTCACCACAGCCCTTTTACTTCCAAACCTAAATTATTTGCTCTGGATTTACATTGAGCACTCTGGATTTTATCACCCTTAGGTTTACCCATACAGACTACCTAGTTAGTTTTTCTTAAACTAATATATATATATATATATATATATATATATATATATATATATATATATATATATATATATATATATATATCGTAAATTCACGTAAACAAATGACTACATATATAATGTAATAGAATAATACCGATAATTTATTTTTAGAGTGAAAATCATTTAAGTAAAGGCTCTATTTATAATAAACAGTATTAATTATATTTTCCCGCCTGAATATCCGATAATTTTCGTAGAAAATTTGTTTCCACCGTGAGGAATCGAACTTCTGTCCTACACGGAGGGCACGTATTTTCTACGAAATTTCTAGGACATTCAGGCCGCTAAATGTAATTAATGATGTTTATTATAAATAGAGCATTTACTTAAATAACTGTATCTATAAAAATAGCGTAAAAACAGAAACTATATTAAAATAATTGTCAGACTTAATCTGTCGGAGTTAACTCCTCCTTAATTTCCTAATTGTCACTAGGGTAGGGCTCCCCCTACACAATAAATACTCGGCAGTTTATTACCTCGTTCTCCTTATACTTTACGTTCAGACCACAAATTGTACATATGGGATCTATGTAGTATTTTCATGGAATCCTTGAGGTATTATGGTGAGTGTGGTGAGAAAGGTAAGTAACAATGTTTTGTTTTGGTGTAAGCAATATTGTTAGTATGAATGGTTCAGCGTTTGTGGCTAGCTAAGTTTAGAAGTTAAGAGAGAAGACCGACATTTTCCTCATTCCCCACTTCGGCCTTGTGCTACACATTCTGTTATAACACAAAAATAAATAACCTTTTTACTTTACGTTTCAGCGGACACATTTAAAAATGTGATTTTCCGCAGAAACCTCCGTTTTGCCCACCTGTGGGAAAACGCCATGAGACAAACATACACGTACGAACTTTCACCAATATACAAACTCTTTACATTCACACACAAACACAAATGTTGATGTCTTTGTCACTTGTAAATTTGTTTAATACAGATATTTGTTTATATATATATATATATATATATATATATATATATATATATATATATATATATATATATATATATATATCATCGGTTTTGTTTTTTCTTTACATCTTCGGTTGGACTCAACTTGTGTCTGCCATGTTCTTGTAGTTGCACCTTCTTCTAGCAGGAAATAAATGCACTAGTTCCTAATTTAACAACACTTAAACCCACGGTCATCTACAAGTCCTTCACGGAAAGTATTTTCCGCTTCACGAGGCAGTTGTTTAGGGCGAGGACTAGTGGAACGCTGAGCGGGAATAATTGTAGGGACACCTTATGATCACGTACTCTGATGTCAACAAGGAAGTCCCATCGGAGATGATGCCAAGTTTATTCAGGCGTGGCTCCTCTGAAATAGCTTTGGATGAATCCCCAGTGACTTGGAAGGAGGTCTAAGTAGTTATACGGAAGTCGAGGGTGTGTTCTACGCGTGGTCATAATGCTGTGACATATGCTGTCTACAAGAGGTGTTCCAGGCTTCTGAGGTGTCTGTGTAGGCTTCTTGTGAAGATCTGGGAAGTTGGTGATGTTCCAGAATGTTGGTGTCGTGCTGATGGTGTGTATATACCGAACATGAAGAATTCCATTACTATTGATCAGTTTCGTCCAAACTCTCTCGTGAACGTTGAGGGAAAATTGTTCTTCACGGTGTGGTGTTTGCCAGGAGGCTGCCGAGCTAACTGCTCTGGAATAACTATATAGATACTAGCATCCAAAAGGCTTTAGTTCCAGGTTTTTCTGGGGGCTTGGATTATGCGTCAATGATTTGGGCAAAGATACGCGAGGCTATAATTTCAAAGAAGAATTTTTACGTCATCTGGCTTGATCTTGCTAATGCGTACGGTTCAGTTCCTCATAACATGATACAGCTGGCGCTGGAGTTCTACGTTCCGCAGAAACTCAGGGATTTTCTGGTAATGTATTTCGTTGAGTTCGTGCTGCGTTTTATGACGGTGAAGTTATGTGGGGCTGCATAGAGGTATTGTTATGAGATGTGCTATTCCCACCCGGTACTGTTTGCGATGGTGATGGAGGTGATCCTCAGGGGCCTGAAGGCAGGGTACCGCTTCCTGCAGAATGCGATCAAAATCTGCGTATTTATGGATGACATAACAGTAATTCAAGACGATAGGAAAGTACCGCAGTTGGTTCTGGGGAGACTTTCAGAATTGGTAGAGTGGGGTCAGGTGAAGGGAAGTTCTGTCATTAATTAAGTGTTTTCCGTCGCAGTTGAAAAGATACCAACAGTGCGGAAGCAAGGTATGAAGAGTCTTGGGACGTGGTATAACTTTCTTGTGACAGATCGTCAACGCGTGGTTGAAATCCAGCCACGAGTGCAGAGAGGTCTGCGAAGCATAGAACAATGCGGGCTTCCTGGGAAATTTAAAGTGTATAGATATAGGTGGTGTATAGCTTTTGGTTTGATGCCAATACTAATACGACCGCTAAAGATATATGAGGTGGCACTGTCTCGATTTGAGATAATTGAGAGAAAAATGAGTAAATACGCACGGAAGTGGCTTGCTGTTGCAAAGATTCTGTCGCCGGTCGTTGTCTATGGCGGCTTGATGAGGGGATGGGGTCTTCAGTTAACTTTTATTTGATGGAGGAGTACAAGATGGGAAAAGTGACATTGCAGTCCATGCTCTGTGAGTCTAAAAATGCTGTAGTCCGGGAAAATGCGTCAGAGATGAAAACAGGAAGAAGGTGGAAATTTTCAGTCGTAATGTCGTCAGTTGAAGGAATGGTAAAGCAGGCAGAGTGTTATAAAGGAGGGATGAGCAAGATTTGGTCTAGTTGAGACTGATAGATCCTGGTCAAAGGCCAGTGGACAAGAGCAACTCAAATTACAGGAACGGGGGATTCGGAAGCTCAAGGAGGACAGACGATTGATGCAGTCTGTCCAATAGGCTCAGAAGGGTCGATGGCTCAACTGGGAGGGTATTGATGGTGTTCAGATCAATTGGTCTGATTGGCACGGTCCTCGTCCTCCTCCTCATCATCATCAGCGTATGATACTGCAGCATCACCGGCAAATTTGACTAGTTCGGAGGCTAAAGGAAGAGCATAAAGTTGGTTGATGCTTCACTGACAGGGGAGGTTATTGTGTCTGTACTGAGTCTAGATCTAGCTAACACCATAGACCGATTGAACGTAACATAATCAACGCCGAAGTGCTTATGCACCTTACATCCCATAAGCTGTTCTCCAACAAGCAATATATTTTCCGCTTTGCCCATTCTACAGCTGATGTGCTTACGACAATCACTGAAATTATTTACCAAGCCCTTCATAATAACAGAGAAGCTCGTGCTGTGGCTCTTGATATCTCCAAAGCGTTTGATAGGGTTTGCCATGCCGGCCTTCTTCGCATGATTCTGGTTTATGGAATTCCAGGTCGATTGTTCGACCTAATACAACCATTCCCGTCGATCCGTACATTGAGGGTCGTTTTCAACGGATTCTCCTCCAGCTCCTTCCCACAAGTGTTCCCCAAGGCTCTATCCTAGGCCCTACTCTGTTCCTCATCTTCATTAACGATCTTCTTGATGTCAGAGATTCCCAAGTAGACATCTATGCGGACGACAATACTATTTACTCCTGCCTCAAAAACAAATCTAGTGTCGCCGCCAAAACTAACCTGGGCGTTTGTCTTGAAGAGGA